CAAGATCCCCGTCACTACTCACCAAAGTAGGATGTGGAACAATGTTTTTGTATAGTATGTTATGCCAACTGAGCCTGATGTTCCCTGTGACCATGGTCCTGAGCCCACAGGTCCCACTACTTGCTACCTCTGGGTAGCTGGCTGTGGCTAAGGTGACTACAACCTTGTCCTTGTCAGCTCTACTATATACCTGGAAATTCTTACAGAACATACAAATACATTGGAGAAACACTGCAGTTTAACAATTTCTTAAAAACTGAAACCTTACCACAGGACCCAGTACTAGAACTCCTGGGCATTTATCTCCAAGAAATGAAAACAAATTTTCACACATTTATGCATTCAATTGTTCACAGCAGCTTTATTTGTAACAGCCTAAATCTAGAAACAATCCAAATGCCCTAGAATAGATAGTTATACAAACTGTGGTGTGGTACACTCACACCAAAGAGTACTACTCAGCAATAAAAAGGAATGAACTACAGATACAACAACTTGGATCTCAAGGACATTACACTGAGTGAAAGAAAAAGCCACTCTCACAAGGCCATATAACATTCCTGAAATGACAAATTACTGAGATGGAGAGCAGATGAGTAGTTGCCAGGGGTTGGTAATGGTGGGGGAGATGTGGGTGTGACTCTATCGGGGCAGCATGGGGAGATGTTTGTGGCAATGGAATAGTTCTGTATCTTGATTGTGGTGGTGGTTACAGGAATATATACTCATGATAAAATAACATAGAACTATGTACACCCACATACACACACATACACACGGTACCAATGTCAGTTTCCTGGTCTTGATGTTGTACGCAAGATATAAACATTGGGGAAAACTGGGCAAAAGGTACAGGGACCTCTGTGTACTATCTTTGCAACTACCCGTAAATTTCAAAGTAAGTTTTTTTTTTTAAAGAAAAACCACACAATAGTCCAACCTAGTTTTGTTTTCTTTTTTCTCCTTCTACTCTCTTCCTGGAAAGGGTAATGATACCAATGGCATGACTCCATCCCCTGGGCACTATTACTGGACTGGGTGGGAGAAGATAACAATTCATAAGTGGGAATGAGCCAATCAGGTTTACTGTCGTCAGAATTTGAACTGAAAGACAAAGATGAGCTATTCCAGCAGGGCTCTGCAGCTGCAAGGTGTAAGCCAGCTGAGGTCATGAAGTAAGCAGCAGTGAGGCTCCCTGTCTGTGAGAATGCCTACTGAGAGAACACTCCCTTTCAGAGCCATTCTGTGGTGAATGGGTTTCTGCTGCTTGCAATGATCCTGACTAAAACATATGCTTAGAAATAGAGATGAAAAGATAACAAAGACTTGTGTGCATCAAAATTTGCTATGGGTCTGTCCTTAATACTCCTGAAGTTTAAGGCAGTTTCATTTTAAGCAATCTATTCTTCACTTCTCACCTCATCTGACTCACACAAGTCAGTGAGAGTAGACAGTTGAGAGTGAGGAAAAGAGTCCTTCAGGTCCCCACTGAGGATGGTAGAGAAGTGCCCAGGTGTGCTAGATGCTCCCAAGCAGTCTAATTATGGCCTCCACCCACAGAGGGTTCCAGTGCCAAGGGTGGGGACCTGAAATTTAAGGATTGGAGGAATGTCCTCTTAGATACAAGTTCACAAGTAATCTGGACACTGGGATTCATTCATTCACCCCTAAATCTTTATCACATTTTTATTGGTGGTATAGGATATACACAAGGGCCAAAGTCAAGGCATCCCACCTACTGCGGGCCCAGCCAGAGCCTCACCATGGCAGCAGCAATCATTCTAGGCCTGGTGGAAAGTAACTGAAAAGGGCCACATGCAGGCCAAGCCACCATCTCCTCACCTCCTAGGCTAATTACTCTCCACATCAGGTCTCCCATCTCAGTCAGACCACAGTACAGTTCAAGTAGAACAGACACTGGCACCAGACTGTCTGGGTACCAGTCCTGCTTCTGCCACTATAACACTTCTCTGTGCTTTAGTTTCTTCACTTGTAAAAAGTGAATCACACTATCCACCTCATTGAATTAAATCAGTGAATTCATATAAAACAGCGCCTGCCATCAATGAGATGATCACCAGCATTATCACAAATATGTTAGTTATTATTTTCTGTGCCTACTTCACTGGGTTGTTCCTAGAATAAACATGACAGAAGTCAACTGAAAACAAATTAAAGCAATCTAGAGTTCTGGTAGTTTAGTAGTTAAAGCATTTGAATGCTAATGAAAAGGTTGGTGGTTCAAACCCATCAGCCCTGCTCTGTAGGAGAAAGATGTAGCAGTATGCTTCCTTAATGATTTACAGCCTTGGAAACCCTATAAGGCAATTCTACTCTGTCCTATAAGGTCACTATGAGTCAGAATTGACTCAGTGGCAGAGTTTTTGGGCGGGTGAAGCAATCCAAAGGTTAGTTTTATTTTTTCAAAAATTATTTTTGCTAATGTAAGACAGAACTCTCACAATGGTTCTGCTTCATAGCCCATCCAGCCCTAGACTGTTCTAGTGGTAAGACCAAAAGTGGAACAAAGGTCTTCTTGAATCAGGGACCTCTTCTCAAAGCCCAAGGACATTTTCCATAGGGCATCAACATACATCTGTCATCCCAGAATTTAACTAAAACTTTCCTGATCCTTCGACATTTTCTACTAATAGTATCACCACCTAACGTTATGTACTCCAGGTCCACTATGTGATATGTAGAGTACTTACTTCAGCATTGTTCAACCTGTACAGCCCAAGCCTCAGGAATCACTGATAGGAAGCGTACTTTATTTTACCACAAAGGCAGGACATTTTGGTTTTCCTTTTGGTCTTGGCACATATCAAGCCAGCATCTCCTCACACTGTCCAGGCTGCAGTGCTGTTTCAGGAATGATTCAGCACTCTAACTGTTATTTAAATGATTCCTACAATCTTCATATAGCCTAACACTGACTTATTGTTCTTGCTTCTGGTGGTGTGTTACTGTCCTACCTGTAAAGCTATCAAACCCAAGTCCTGGATGCCTCTTTCAGATTTCATAGCTTCCTCAAATTTACTACCAAAATCAAACCTATTGCCATAGAGTCAATTCTGACTCCTAGCAACCACATAGGGCAGAGAAGAACTGCCCCCATAGGGTTTCCAAGGCTATAATCTTTACAGGAGCAAACTGCCACATCTTTCTCCTGTGGAATAGTCAGTGGATATGAACCACTGACCTTCTGGTTAGCAACCAAGCACTTAATCAATGTACCACCAGAGCTCCATCTAAATTTACTACATACTTCCTGGATTTCAGAAAGCAGTTATCTACCCGTTACTGTTTAAAAAAAAAAAAAAAAAATGCAACTTATTTTTCTACTGCTGAATGGCTGCTGAGCTCAGCTCTGCAGGTCAGGGAAAAAAAGACATGGTGTTTAGGGGGCCCTCCCCCTCCTATCACAAACATTCTCCTTGCCCTTGCCTGCAGCAACCTAGTCTGTCTTGTCTAAGACTCCTACATATGAGTTCCCTCCTGGCTGCCCCTCAGACTGGCAGGTGAGAGTGTTGGATTGAACACCTGTAGCCTGGCCCAGATCATTGCACTGTGGGTCAGCACTCTTGATTACAATCCCAGTCAAGGTATATTGTGGGCCCTCCCCACCTATAGAAAAGGACACTGGATAGACTCACATTTGGTTTGTCTTATTTATCACCTTGACTGGAAACATGCTAGAGTACAGAAGGAAGGGAATCTGCTCTTGAGGACAGGTTCAAAGCCAAACATTAGGCTCTATGCAGACAAGTGTAAGGAGGTACGGAGGGGCTGAGAACACCACCTTCAGTGACTACTTCTCCAGGGACCTCCACCTCCAGGGCTCAGGCTGGTACCAGGAGCCCTGCATAGTAGAATCACTGCCAATAATCTTCCCACTTCTAAGCAGGAAGAAAAAGTCATGTGGAATAGAAACAGGAACACTGAAGATGGCCTTTGTAGTCTTGATGCCCCGAGCTTCCTGGGATGGCCAAGATGTGAACTTAGCTGGTTACACCTGCTTCATTTTTAGTCACTGGAGACAGAAATCTCAAAGGCTGGGGCTTCTTTTCTCTGACTTGGCAAGTTCTACTTTTCATAACCAGCTGAATGAACTGTTCTTAGGTTTAAACACCATGTTGTTTCACCATAGGAACTACTGGTATATCCTTCGAGCCACTTCATTTATTGCTCCATTCCTCTTCTTTGGCTTTTCTGGACCTGCAGGCCCTCTGGATATAGGAACTGCCCGAAGCATGGTGAGAAAAAGAAAGGAACCAGTTTTAACCTTCTGGCAAATGCTGCTCCCCACATCTATGGTGGTCAAAGGGGCCAAAAGATTACAGCCTAGTTCTCTTTGCTTTCATTATGAAACTGCTCTATGGTGTATTTGAAAATTGCAAGTTCCCAGGTCCAACAGGCGCTCAATATTTGATTTGATTTCTAAGACGGAGGTGCATGGGGCCCACTCTCCCATGTCTGCTCAGAGGGAAGGCAACAGATGTTCAAAACAAACCTTCTGGCTGAACAACTGGTCAGTAGGCCAGACTGATCCCAGTCCTCAGCAGAGAGCTCTCAATCCTGACTCCCATGACCCCAGACGATGTGGACATCTCCTCCCAACATGGCACAAGGAGCACAGACTTCCAAAAGGAAATTTCTTATTAAATGCAGTGAGCAGTCCAACACTGACACTTAAGTTAAATCACAGCTATTGATGAAGAAGTGCCCCTGATCCATGCATGGTCAGATCTGCTGAGAAGGCTGGGGATTCTAGCAACCAGACTTATAGATCCTGGAGGATGGTGCTCCCTTGCTGGCACCGTTATCACCTAGCCTAATGGGTTCACGAGACCCAGAGCCCCAACCCTGAAGATAGTTGGCAGGAAGACTAAAATGACTATCTTAAAGAAGTCTTCAAATAGGCAAATAGCTCAGCAGAACAGCACATGTGCCTAGGGCCATCACCAACCTGGTAAAGGAGGACATATTGCACGGCATCTTCAGGGTGCTGGAGGCAGGCGCTGTGGCAGGAGAGCAGTTAACAAGGGTCAAAGCATTGCCAGATTAATGTATCCAGACCCTCTGACCTAGTCATCCCACTCCTGAGAATTTATTCCAAAGAAATAATTCTCAATAGGGAAAAAGCTGGATGCACAGACACATTCTAACAACCAAGTGGTTACTGGACTCCGCAGTCAGAGATTCATCACCACTTTTTAGAGTAAATCACTTATGTTCTCTGAGCCTCCTTTTCCTCATCTGTAAGATGTAGTTGACAGCATCTACTTCACAGGGTCGTTGTGAGGATTAAATGACATAATCCAAGTAAAGTACCTTGCATGTATGTTCAACCACAAAGGACAGCTCTTATTATCATGCTTAAAGACAAGAAGGGAATGCAGAGAAAAAGGAAATCAGAGAATTAAGAGTAAGACTCACAGAATTAGAAGGTAAACTTTCCATTATAGTGACAGTATCATAGTTTAGGTATTGTACATGTTTGAGGTGTTATGGGGGGTCTTGCAGCTCAGGAAGAAGGAAGTAAAGCAGACAATTGTCTCTTCTCCATCAAGGCAAGGGTTTGTTTCCCTATATTCCTAGATTTCACCCTTGGAAATCTCTTAAGAGTGCTCTAAGAATTCAGTAAAGGGGGGAAGATGGAGGAGATAGGAAGGGAACAATGAAGAAGGGCTTGACATTCAAACCAAAAAAGATCCATCTTCCAAAGGAGGGCCATTCACATGACTACGACTCTGTTCTGATTAGGGGTATCCCTGAGAGTGAGCCCACCATCCCAGGGACTGTTACAAGGACAGCACCGATGCCCACTGCTGTGGATGGTGAGCTAGAAGAGCTCCCTGCCATATGGAAAAAATGATCACTAACTTTATATGGAAAGGAAAGAGACCTCGGATAAGCAAAGCACTACTGAAGAAGAAAAACAAAGTAGGAGGTCTCACATTGCCGGATCTCAAAACCTACTATACAGCCACAGTAGTCAAAACTGCCTGGTATTGGTTCAATGACAGATACATAGACCAATGGAATAGAATTGAGAACCCAGGTATAGATCCATCAACCTATAGTCAGCTGATCTTTGACAAAGGCCCCAAATCCATTAAGTGGGGAAGAGAATGTTTGTTTAATAAATGGTGCTGGCAAAACTGGAGATCCATTTGCAGAAAAATGAAACAAGATCTGTACCTCACACCACACACAAAAACAAACTCCAGATGGATCAAAGACTTAAATGTGAAACCTAGAACTATACAGTTTCTCAAGGAAAATTTAGGCTCAAACTTAAGGGCCCTAATATTTGGTATAAATAGGCTACCAAGCATAATTCAAAATGCACCAACAGCAGAAGAGAAGCCAGATGATTGGGACCTTCTAAAAATTAAATGTTTATGTGCTTCCAAAGACTTCTCCAAAAGAGTCAAAAGAGAACCTACAGATTGGGAAAAAATATTTGGTAATAACATATCTGACAAGGGACTTATCTCTAGAATTTATAGAACACTCCAACACCTCAATAACAAAAAGACAAACAATCCAATTAAAAAATGGGCAGAAGACATGAACAGACACTTCACCAAGGAGGATATTCAAGCGGCCAACAAACATATGAAGAAATGCTCACGATCATTAGCTATTAGAGAGATGCAAATCAAAACAACAATGAGATACCATCTTGCTCCAGCACTAGTAGCAAAGTTCAACAAGACAGAAAATAACAAATGCTGGCGAGGTTGTGGAGAGATTGGGACTCTCATACACTGCTGGTGGGACTGTAAAATGGTACAACCATTGTGGAAAGCAGTATGGCGATTCCTTCAAAAGTTGGAAATACAAATACCATTTGACCCAGCCATCCCATTACTAGGTATATACCCTAAAGAAGTGAGAGCCATAACAAGAACAGATATATGCACGCCGATGTTCATCGCAGCACTATTTACAATAGCCAAAACTTGGAAACAACCTAGATGTCCAACAACTGAGGAATGGATAACCAAACTTTGGTACATTCACACAATGGAATACTATGCAACGCTAAAGAATAATGTAGAATCTGCAGAACACCGCATAACGTGGATGAACTTGGAGGACATTATGCTGAGCGAAATAAGTCAGTCACAAAAGGACAAATATTGTATTAGTCCGTTATTGTAAATGTTAAGAAAATGTTTATATATTGGAGGACATTTTCTTTGTTGGTTACCAGGGGTGGGAGGGAAGGGGAGGGAATGCTGTTAGATAGATAGAGATAAATATTGATTTGGGTGAAGAGAAGGGCAATGTACCAAATGTGAGTGACCAATATGGCAGCATTGAGGATGAGAAAGACAGAGAGAGTTACATGGGCATTACAAACAACAAATATGAACCCCTTTGTAAATACAATACTGAGTTGTTAATGAAAGCAAATATGGGTATAGGGACGGATAGATGGGTGAACAAGCTAAACAATTATGTATGTCTAAATGGAGAGTGTATCCAAGATCATATACAGGGTTGGCAGAAAATGGGCCTCTCGAAGAGTATGAAGGGATGGACACTGGGAGGAGGTAACTATGGGGAGGAAGTGGGAGGGGAGCTGCTGCATTGTAAATTTTGGTCAATGACATGAGACAAAGTATATGTGAACTGCTGTATGAAAAGTGAATTTACTCTGTAAATCTTCACCCAAATCCTAATAAAAAAAAAAAAGAAGAGCTCCCTGCCAGCATGACAAGTCACATGTGGCCAGCAGTACAGTACAGCATACCTCGTTTTATTTCGCTTAGCAGTTTTCCATTTTTTCACATATTGAAGGTCTGTGACAACCCTGCTTTGAGCAAGTCTGCCATTTTTCAAAAAGTATGTGCTCACTTTGTGTCTCTGTGTCACATTGTAGTAATTCTCAAAATATTTCAAATTTTCTCATAATGCCACCGCACACTTAACAGACTACAGTATAGTGTAAACATAATTTTTACATGCACTGGGAGATCAAAAATTTGTGACTCGCTTTATTATTTGCTTTATTATGGTAGTCTGGAACCAAACCTGCAATATATCCAAGGTATGTCTGTACAGAGAAGAGAGGCCTTGTGTCCACATGCGAGGCTAACAATACTTTAGTATCAACAATTATCCAGTCAATGTGTATATTTCTAATTGTCACATAAATGACTAGTTTAGAGACCTTTTTAACATTCATGTTTGCAAAGCCTGAGGAAATTCTGAGACAGTCCTTACTAAATTCCACCACAACCATCACTGACTTATGCCAACTTCTTCATATTACAGATGATATAAGTGAAACCCAGAGAGGTTAGGTGATTTGCCCAGGATCACATACATAGCTAGCTGAAGAGCCTGACTCATAACCCAGTGTTCTTTCCATGGTGTCATACTGCCTGGCAGTCTGAACAGTGAGGTAACTGTTAGAAGCGTTTGAGTCAGCAGAGCTAATTTAATAATGACGTCTCCTTTGTCCATAAGAAAAAAGTAATTACATACCCATTTAACCAAGTTGAAAACTAAGCCCTTTGAGTTTAACACCATCAGGTAGCAGCCAGATCTGGATCTTTCTTCTGTGTTCTAATTTAGCCATGGAAAAGGGGAATTCTCAATGACCCCTGCCTTCTTTCCTCAATAACCAGCTCTCCCACCCAACAAAAAGCTGAAGAGAACTACCTAATATACGAAGAAGGTATCACATGGCAAGGACATGTTTCTAGTTGTGCATCAACATGGCATCAGCAAAGGTTTAGAATGTCTGAAATTGGTCCAAATGGCTTACAGTCACCTCCATCAAACCATCAAGGAACTGATACTTTTTACATTATGTTGTTGTTGTTGTTGTTATATGCCGTAGAGTCGGCCCCGACTCATAGTGACCCCTCCTTGGGTTTCCGAGGCAGTATCACTATGGAAGTAGGATTGCCCAACCTTCCTTCTGAGGAGTGGCTGGTGGGTTTGAACCGCCAGCCTTCTGGTTAGCAGTCAAGTGCCTTTTTACATTATATAGATGCTTTAAAGTATGGGAACAACAAAAAACTTCTCATCTCATTCTACAAGGATAGAATTACCCTTTTTACACAACTAAAAGAAGAAAGCACACACAAAAAAAGTGGGTGGTAGAGGGGAAGAAAACTATAGGCCAATCTAACTAATAAGCACAGAGACTAAAAGCCTAAGTAAAATAAAAGCAAATCAAAAGAATAGAACATGCTTTTCCTCTAAAACACTGCCTCCTTTCTTTCTTTTTTTCAGTTCTCTTTTTATAAGATCTTGTTTTCTATCTATGCACAACAGAATAAATTTGGGCATGTGCAAAAAAAAAAAAAAAATTTAAAGGAATAAGACAGTGAGTAAGCCACTATATCTGGTATTAATTTATGAGAGAGTTTGATATTAGGAAATCTAAGTAATTCATCATTTTAACTGATTAAAAGGAAATGTTTTTGCTCATTCATCTCATTTGATTCCAACAGGACACTGGACAAAATTCAAAATCCAATATACATCAAAAAAGAAAAAGATAAAGATCTTAGCAAACTAGAAACAGAACTAACACTGCCTTTAACTGAGGCTCTACATTATTATACAGTCATATAACACTAGTGTAAGAAAAGATCCAGGGCCTGCCGTGTGTATAGTAATTTGGCACGTGGTAATGGTGGATTTCAAACTCATGCAGGAGGGATGAATGGACTCATCAATAAAGTTAGATCCTTCCTCCACTTAGCATAAAAAAATAAATTCCAAGTGGACTAATGAACAAATAAGCAAAAGCCTTCTTAATCAAGGTACAAAACTCTGAAGCTATGAAGGAGAAGATGTGAAGATTTATTATATAAAAATTCTAGATACTTGCATGATAAAAAAATCCAGAAACAAAAGTTAAAAAAGAAACATTCAATATTTAAACAGAAAGTAAAAAACAAAAAGAAAAAGCAAGCAAGGACCATAAGCAAGGGACTAGAATAAAGTAGGTGCAACTTGTATAATAAAGTATTAACATCTGAACTCATAAGGCTGCTATAAATCAAACAGATACAGACTATGACAAGCAATTCATAAAAGAAATACAATCTCATTAATAACTAAGAAAATGTACTTTAAAACAAAATTTCATTTTTCACTTATTAGAGTAATAAAATTAAAAATACTGATTTCCACAACTGACAAAAGTATAGGAAAACAGATATTCTCATCACTGCAACTTGAATGGTATACTAGCAATGCCTTTTGAAGGCCAATTAGCCAGCACCTAGCCAGATTTTAGATGTCTATACCCTCATTTGGGAGCTCTGGTAGTATAGTGGATAAGACACTTGCCTGCTAACCAGAGGGCTGGCAGTTCAAACCCACCAGCCACTCCTCGGAAGGAAGGTTGGGCAATCCTACTTCCGTAGTGATACTGCCTCGGAAACCCAAGGAGGGGTCGCTATGAGTCAGGTTTGACTCGACGGCACATAACAACAACAACAACAACAACATACCCTCATTTGAGCTCTGGTAGCACAGTGCCTAAGGCACTTGACTGCTAACCAGAAGGCTGGCGGTTCAAACCCATTTATTAGTGTGCCTAGAGAAATGTTTCCAGAAGTACACAAGAGTTATGAACAAGGGGTTCACTGCAACATTATTTACAATATCAAAAAGCAAACATACCTAACTCTCTACCTAACTGGATACACTTTCATGCATCTGCACAGTGAAATATGAGGCAGCCATTTCCCATGTGCCAACAGGGAATAATGTCACAACATGTTTGCTAAGTAAAGGCTAGTTACAAAACAGTCCATATTCTATGATTCCGTTTTTTCCCAAAATAAACAAAATAATGTACTTCTCTAGAAAGAAAAAGAGGCTCTGGTGGTATAGTGGATAAGGCAGTTGGCTGCTAACCAAAAGGTTAGCAGTTCAAACCCACTAGCTGCTCCATGGAAGGAAGATGGGGCAATCCACTTCCATGAAGATTTACAGCCTCAGAAACCCAATGGGGGCATTATGAGTCGGAATCAACTAGATGGCAGTGAGTTTTGTTTTTTTTCAGTTTTATACAAGGAAAAATCTGGAAGAATGCACATCAAGCTATTAACAGTGGCTATCATCTCTGCAAGGAGATCTGGTGGCACAGTGGTTAAGTATTTAGATGTTAATCGAAAGGTCAGTGGTCTGAACCCACCAGATGCTCCACAGAAGAAAGATAAGGCAGTCTCCTTCTATAAAGATTTATAGCCTTGGACAAAGATGAACCCTTTTGTATGTACACGACTGTGTTGTCAGTGATGGCAAGCACTGATCTATGACTGGGTAGATGGGTCGAGAGGCTTAACGATCAGGTATGTCTACACAGGGTAGTGTGCCCATGACCATGTAGAGGGTTGGCAGATGATTCTTCTACAAGCATATCTGTATGCACTGTAAGAATGTCTGGGTGTATAGTAGAACTGACAAGGGACAAGGTTGTGGTGACTTCTTGACTACAGCCAGCTACCCTGAGGGAGCTGGACCTATGGCAGTTGGATTTGTGGGCTTGGGACCATGATCGCAGGGGACATAAAGCTCAATTGGCATAACATACTACATACACAAAAACATTATTCTACATCCTACTTTAGTGAATAGCAACCGGGGTCTTAAAAGCTTGCAAGCAGCCATGTAGGTGCAACGATGGGTCTCCCTTCATCCACAGCAAATGAGACAAATAAAGAAAACCAAATATGCATGGAAACAATTAATCCAAGGGACTAGTGGACCATGTGATCCTTTGCCTATATTACCATGAGATCAGAAGAGCTAGATGGTGCCCAGCTACCACTGTCAACCACTCAGAGGAGGATCAATCGGTGCAGGTCATCCTGGATAGTGTGGGAGAACAAAACTCAAAATCATAAAAATCGTAAAAAAAAAGACCAGGTTTGCTGGTCTGATAGAGCCTGGTGAGACCCTTGAGACTATGGCCCCTAGCTACCCTTCAGGTCTGGAATTGAACTCACTCCTGTGGCTTCTAGCCAAACAACAGACAGGCATATGGAGTGAACATTTACATCAGGCAGATACAGTCCTTGGAGCAATCAATCATGGGAGAACAGAAGGGCAGTATTTGCATTGGGAGATGGCAGAGGGTGGGCAGAAGTGCATGGGAGGGAAGCACACAGGGAAGAGGTAACTATGTGGAGGAAGTAGGAAGAGAGCTGTTACATTGTGGGGAATTGCAGTCAATGTCATGAAACAAAATGTATACGAACTGTTGTGTGGAAAATAAATTTGCTCTGTAAACTTTCACTGATATCACAACAAAAATTTAAAAAAAAAAAGATTTATAGTCTTGCAAACTGTTAGGGTCGCTACGAGTCAGAACTGATGCAATGGCAAAGGGTTTGGGATCATCTCTAGAGAGGAGCACTAGTGGTAGAGTGGTTAAGCACTTGGATGCTAAACAAAAGGTCAGCAGTTTGAATCCACCAGCTTCCCACAGGAGATGTGGCAGTTTGCTTCCATAAAGATTTACAGCCTTGGAAACCCTATAGGGCAACTCTACTGTGTCCTACAAGGTCACTATGAATTGTAATGAACTTGACAGCAGTGGGTTTGATTTGTTTTTTATCATCTCTTGGTACTAGGGAAAATTTTCACTTTCTAAATTACATATTTCTGTAATGTTTGCATTATCTAAAATAAGAACAAATGCATTTGTAATTGAAAAAATAAGGAACAGAAAAACTTTAACAACTTCCATCTTTCTGCAAAAAGGTGAGAGTAGCAGCTATGAACCCAATGGATGTCAGGTAACAATCTTTGTGCAATATTTTCCCCTAATGAAGAGGGACGAAGGCTTCTGGAATGGTTTGGGAATTGCCCTCTGCCTGTAGTACTCAGTTGCCCAACTACGTGGAAGGGCTGGCACAATGGAATGACAAGGACAGCACCAGGCTTGCACTCATGGCAGCCTACACAGCACCTTGCTCTTACATAGGAAGGCCTGGCTCAAGCAATGGGTGCTGAAGGAAAGCACACTCAATACTAGACTCAAACTATGTTTTTCGTTAATCTCGAATCTTTGGAAGGCTCCTCAGGAGACCATTTAAGATTAGAAATATTTTACTTGAAAAAGTCACGATGGAAATCCAATCAACTAAGGGGAACTGATGGTGATTTCCTTGGTAAGAGTTATAAATACCCAGTTGTACACTCAAAAGACAGCAAGGAAGCCAAGATCTGAGAAGGTACAACACTAGAAAGCTGCTATTCAAAGAACAATTATTAGTCAACTAACCTCTAAATACAACGTGAATGAGGAAACTGAGATTAGGAGTAAACAAAAACATTAAATACCAGACACACACTGAAACGTATTTGTATGTTTAATCCTCACAGCAATCTAGGGTATATTACAGAAAAGGAGAGACTCAAAGAGGCCCAAGCTTGCTCAGTCACAAAATTACAACCCTAGAGTCTAGATTTGAATGTGGTATGTCTACAAGTCCAGTGCATAAGCAGCTCCTCCAATCAGCCAGCCCCAAATTTCCCAATATTGGAGCCTATGTCCTCAGTTCTCCCAGGCAGACTCACCTGTGAGCCAGAGGGCAGAGCCTGGGAGGTGGGCTCCTCTGACAAGGCTGCTCCTGAGCCCATAGGGCTCAGAGTGGTGATTCTGCTTGGCTGGCCACGCAGTGTCAGTGTAATGGTGGTCGGAACCTTCAAGCCTAAGAGAGATGGAGAGAAGCAGGTTTTTTGTCACAATCCTCCCTTTCTACTGAGCCTTTCCTTTTCTGGAGAGTGTCTTCCCCACTCCCTACCCCAATCCCCCCTCAGCCTTCTCCCTAGCTGGTTCATCTAAGGCCCATCAGGCAGTCTGAAAGGCAACAGGAGACAGCCTGTGTTCTCTCAGCCTCTCTGGGGGATGGGTCCACACAGCTGAATCCCTAAGGGTGCAAGGCATGGACCCTGTGGGGTTGGGTTCAACATCATACCTTGCCCATGTAAGATGGGAAGGTCTTAGGGGAAGTTCCCAGATCTGTGAGTCCCCAAGGTTCTCCTGAAAGACTCACCTGATGCTTGATTAGAGATCTGAGCCAGGCCAGGGAGGCTGCTTGCCAACTTAGCAAGGCCCCCATTGGTAAGCAGCTGGTGGATGGCTGTGGGCTTGCCACCAGGAGTGGCACCCAAGGAGGAAAGAGTAGTGGCCACAGGAATGGTACGGACAATGGTGCTGGTGCCCGTGGTGATGGCACCCAGGCTCTGCATGGGGGTGGCCAACTTCACACTGGTAGCCTGTTGGACACACAAGCCCAGATGATCAGAAGCTGTCACCCAACAGCAATAATCACGTTTGGAAGGCCCAGAGAGTATTACTAAAGGCTAAGTTGTATTGTGTGCCTACTACATGCAAGGCACTCTTTCAGGCATTTTGTATATATTATCTCATTAATGCTCACAACCCTGTGAGAGAAGTACCATTATCATCTTCATTTTACAGATAAGGAAACACAGACATAGAGGAGTCAAGAAACTTGCCCAAGGTCACACAGTAAGAGATAGAACCTTAACCTTTGGTAGCTCCCAAACATATAGTGAGACAGCTGTCTGTCCTTGACCCACTGACCCCAAACCCAGTCTCTCAGCCAAAACAACTAAGCTGAAGAGGCCTCCTCATACACCTCCCCAGTGAAATGCAGATCTGCACCTGTGGGGCTGGCCCTGGGGAGGGATTTGCTGGGAGGCCAGAGGTCTTGCTGCTGATATCTTGTAAGCTGAAGCTGAGACCTTGGAGGAGGCTGCTGGCTGATGTGGCCCCTACGAGGAGGATATAACAACTATCAACACAGGCTCTATCACATGCACATATCCCCAAAGCAGCCATGCCCACCCACCCTCAACATTAACTAAAACACAAATATTCTTTCTAATGGACGTCCCCACTGCTCTCAGAAAGATGCCAAGAAGGGCTGCCCTGCCATGTACTGGACGCCCACATAAGGAAAGCCACAATGTCAGAAATTGCATCAGATTCCCTCTGCAAGCTCCCAACCTGTTGCAAACCACCTGTCTCACATTTTGGAAAATTTTAGAAGGAACCAAAAAGAGCCTGAATCCCACTTTCCAGAAATCTGTAACTCCCTCTTTCCTTTCCAAGGGAGTTGTTGTTGTTGTTGTTGTTATGTGCCGTCGAGTCGGCCCCGATTCATAGCGACCCCTCCTTGGGTTTCTGAGGCAGTATCACTATGGAAGTAGATTGCCCCATCTTCCTTCCGAGGAGTGGCTGGTGGGTTTGAACCACCAGCCTTCTGGTTAGTAAAGTGCCTTAGGCACTATGCTCCAGAGCTCCTTTCCAGGGGAGAGGAAAGGCTTTTTAAGCCAAAGAATTCCAAATAAGAGATCAATCATGGGAGAACAGAAGGGCTGTATACACACAGGAAGACAGCTCGGGGGCAGAAGTGCACAGGAGGGAAAGACACAGGGAAGCAGTAACTGTGGGGATGAAGTGGGAAGAGAGCTGTTACATCATGGGAAATTGCAGTCACTGTCATGAGACAAAGTGTATGTGAATTGCTATATGGAAAATGAATTTGCTCCATAAACTTTTACCCAAATCACAATAAAAATTAAAAAAAAAAAAAAGGAATTTCAAGACCTGGCTTACCCTTCACCTAACACACAGTCTGGTAGTTTCAAACCAAGGAGGAAGGCCCTTTTGAAGGAGGGGAGGGTCTGCAATGCCTCAGCCCTGCTAGGTTCAGGCAATTAGATTTTCCACACAGGTGACAGGATAAGAGAAGTAAGGAGACAAGCTTATGCAGAAAAACGTGGTTTTATTCCATCAGATGTGTTTAAAATACCAAAATGAACTACAAAGTATCTCCCATCAGTTATCTACCTTTCCTGGTATACAGGAAACAATATCAGCAGATGAGATTATCTACACACTGAAGATAGTAAGGACAAGGAATCCCCTACCACAAGTAAAATTCTAGCTTCATGTCAAGCCTCTACAACAAGACTAAGATCCAAAAGAGCATCCTCCAGTTTCCAGAGATACCTTCCTAGAACCACCCTTTCTTTTGGGAGGGGAAGAATGCTGGGCTACAAAATACCTGGAAGGGAGTTGCCTGGAGAGGTGGCCACCAAGCGGCTCTGGAATGTATGCAAGGCACTGGACACGGTGCTGCTGGAGACCACTGAAGAGGCGGGGCTGGCTGAGAGTGCCCCATCACAAGAAGCACTGGATCTGGAGACAAACAAAGGAGCTCCATTATCCAAAGGTCAGAGGGTAATAGACCCCGGCAACACAGGGAGGGATCCAGAGTAGGGCCCAGGAAGGCTTTCTGAAATGGACACAAGGCTAGAACCTTTGGTTTATTCACCCCACCTTCCAAATCCAGTCTCTAATCCTTCTAAAATGGAGGAATTGGTGGTTCAGTGGTAGAATTTTTTCCTTCCATTTAAGAAACGTGAGTTCGATTACCACACCTCAAGCATAGCCACTACCCATCTGTCAGTGGAAGTTTGTGTGTTGCTGTGGTGCTGGACAGGTTTAAGTGGAGCTTCCAAACGAAGAAAGACCAGGAAGAAAGGCCTGGTGATCTACTTCCAAAATTCAAGCCAATGAAAACCATATGGATCACAATAGTTCAATCCACAACCCATCATGGGAATGGGACAGGACTAGGCAGCGTTTTGTTCCACTGTACATGATATCATATAGATAGCAGGTAGAGTTGGGGCCAATTTGATGGAAGCTAACAACAACAACAATTCTTCTCAAATTTAAAAGTCAGGCCTAAAGTAAGGACATCAGGCCTTGGAGCAAGAGCTAGAGGACATATGGTAGTTAAAGTGTCAACTTGGCTGGGCCACAGTTTTTTTTTTTTTTTAGGATTTGGGTGAAGATTTACAGAGTAAATTCACTTTTCATACAGCAGTTCACATATACTTTGTCTCATGTCATTG